GTGCTGTTCAAAACCCTGCCATGTGTATTGGAGTGCCGGCTTGTCAAGGATCGTGCTCACAAGCCTGCCTTGGATGCATACATGTCTCGTTTTGGCGATGGACCGGTGGCAAATGACCATGCAAAGGCCTACCTCACAGGCGTCGGAGCATGCAACCGGTTTTAGGAGCTTATCCTCCAACTGCGCACTGGCTCTCTCCCCCTTGCCTCGCACACAGGCAAGTTCAGCCGTAGCCAGCAGAATGACGCCTCTCATACTTCTCACTACTGCTGCCCTGTCTGCTCAACTGGAATTGAATCAGTGTCCCATTTTCTTGGACTGCCCCAAGTACGAATCAGTGCGTGGAGAGCTGTAGCGGCGACTGGAGGACGAGATGGCGCCTGAATGCTGGCATATGATGCAGCAGATGCAGAATGAAGAGGAAGCTTACAAGTTGCTCGATTTTGACTTGGTGGCTCTGTGCTTGCTGATATTGTTGCCCCTTATGCGTATGCTTGCTGGCAGATCCGTTGGAAGGTTAGGAATGAGGAGGCAGGTCCGCTCTGATGAGCGCGGGGCCGATGGCAGTGATGCTATGGCATGAGTAACTTATCTATCTATCTCCGGCTGAGTCAGCCTCAACTGTGCGCCAAGCGTCAGCGTGATGTGCCGAATCTGTACCAGCTGATATCCAGATGTGTTGGCCCTCTCAGTGTGTCGTCATGCTCAATATGTATGTGGCCTCTCTAGACCTGATGTCGCGCCATACTTTGTTCAGTGCCACAACCTGACCGGTCACTCCGCCCGCTGCCCCGTTGCCACACTGTAAGCTGGCAGCCAATGGCAGTCTAGTTGGTGGCGTGACACAAAACCAACCACACCCCATCGCTTCGACAGCCCCCGTGCAGGATCTTGGGCTGGAGGCGCAACGCAGAGCGACACCCCGGGGTCGCCCTCACACCCACGACCCCCCCCCCCCCGGCATCAAATACACAGTCATACACCCAGGGGGTGAGCAGGGTGCACCTCCGGCTGCGCCGCTCACGCCCGGCGGGCGCCAGTGGCCTCAGCTGATTCTGATCGGCCTCTGTGTGGGTATCAGCCCGCCATTCCCCATACATTGCTTCGCTTTCAGCTTTTTCACCCGGCGTCGCACCCTTCCTGATCCCTTTGCGATCCCCTTTTCCTGTGTGAGAGCGGTGCTGCCAGCAGCAGGGACCGGGCTCAGTAACATCGCGCAGGAGATGCTGGGCGCGCTGGCTGGCAACTGCAACTACGCCATCAACCCTGCCCCAGCCTAGATCCAACTTCATGCGAAACAGTTGGGGTTGGCTTGTGGTTGATCACGTGTCCTGGGCAGAAAACGAACAGAGCTTGCAACGTTTGGGGATGCTTCTCCATCCTAAGGTATTTCCAGCACATTTTTGTGATGTGGAAAACATCTATCGCAGTTCGGAATTTGTTGCGTGTAATGGAGGGTGGGAAGGTTGGGATTAGTGCATGCACCTGCTGAGGGTCACCAGGCAGGTTGCAGGGCAGCAACATGCCGCCAATTTTGAGGACGAGCCAAGTAAACGGACCTGATCCCTACGTCGTGATAGAGCAGTTTATTACCCTTGTCTGACTGAATGGCAGTCGTCATGGGGTCTACACATTAATCGGCCTAGGTACCTCCACCTGCACGTCCTCCCTGCACGAGCAGCAAGAAACCCGCTCGCAAACCGGCGGTCACCTGCGACCAAGCTGGACTCACTCAACACCCTATCACATACCGTCAATAAAAGTGTGCATACGGTACATTGTGCTCTCATCTCCTACGGTACACCCAAACCCCTCTACAGCATGCTGTCCTGCCAGAAGGCGAGTGCCGTGCGGGCTCCGATCCAGGGACGGGCGGGCAAGACATGCCGCGTGGTCTGCAAGGCGCAAGACTCTGAGGTCGCGGACAGCAGCAGGAGGTGAGCGAGTCACTGAGATCGCACTCTGGGATGTGCGCACCTGGCGCAATGCAGGATCTTTTCGACCTTCTGAAAGAGGCAAAGCTCGTATGACATCACATCGATCCCATTTGGGTGCCAATGGGCGGTCGTGGCCCGCTCCGCAGCGTGCCGCTCGCCCTGCGGCGCCTGCTGCTGTTATGATGATGTGGTGCTTGTGGTGACAGCGCCCTCGAGCACTCCTGACCCCTCCACGACCCACATGCCGGCTTTCCGCAGGCAGGTGCTGCTGAAGAGCGTGAACGTGGGCGTTATCGCGTCGCTGTTCACGTGGGGCGCTGTGGAGCGGCCGTCCAACCTCGGCGTGATCGACTACGTGGGTGGCGTGCGTCGCGCATGAGGCCTGGCCATTGCGCCTTGCGCGGTACATGCTGGTTCCATGCTTGTTCTGTGGTGTTTCATTCTGGAACTGCAGGCATTCTTGGCTTGTTCGCAGCCGCCAGCATGGCATTGCGTCTGATTGTGCTGAACCCCACCCTGTTGCTTGTGCAGGGCGGCGGTGCGCGCTCCCTGGGCCTGTGCCCCCCGACCCCCAACTGCATCTCCACAGCAGAGGAGCTCAATGACATCGGCCACTACGCCCCTCCCCTGTGAGCACTGGCAGGCAGCAGCGGCAGAGGGGGTTGGCCGCGCACACCATACAAGTATGCCATGCAGCCTCAACGGGAAGCGATCATGCCGCTGTGCGGGCGCGTGCTTGCAAGCGCAAAGCTTTGCCAAGCGGCTGATGGCTTGATGTCAGCGTTGACATTCTCTATGGTCAGAATTCGTATGCCCATCTGGCTTTGAGCCCCCAACCCCCAACCCACCTCAACCCGGCCTCACCGCGCCCCCCCCCTCAGGACCTACAACCCCCAGGACGGCCGCGGCAGCAAGAAGCCTGCCACCCAGGAACAGGCCATGGCTGAGCTGGTGCAGGTGGTCAAAGATCTGACCCCCGACAAGTTCACGCCCAAGATCATCAAGCAGACCGAGGACTACCTCTACGCGGAGTACCAGAGCCCCACCTTTGGGGTGAGGGCGGGGCGAGGTTTCAAGGCACAAAACAGCGGAGCGGCCAAAGCGCACTCGTCAGAGTCTTTGAATGCCATAGCAGTGACGAAAGCGAAAATCCCGTGGTCGTGCATGATTCACAAAGGTCGTGGCAAAGGTCGTGCGCCTTAGTGTTGCCCCCAGTGCGAAGTCTTGTGACCCCGCAGCCTCCCCCCACCACAAAACACAACGTCAACCCAACTTGCACAACACTCATATGCTCCACTTGATGGTGTTGGTCCACTACAGTTCATTGATGATGTTGAGGTGCGGTGGTATTATGCGGCAGGCTAGGATTGGTTTGGTGGGGTCTGGGGGACTGACTTTTGGCCGTCTGCACGACGCACACCTCATAACTGACACACCACCCAGAGACACACATCATCTAATATCTATGTGCGCGCATGCGTGCACAGTTTTTCTTCATTCCGGGCGCGTTCTCCCGCGTGGAGTACCGCAGGTGATCCTGCCACCCTGGCAAACACTCTTGGCACACGGGACAGTGTGGGGCAACAAAAAGGAATGGTGCCAGCATCTAGTCGTGCATGCCACGCCTTGCTACGCACCATGATGGTGCTGCGCGCCAACCACATGTCGCTGTGCGTGTTTGCCCCGCCCGTCCTCAGCGCGAGCCGCATTGGGGAGAGTGACGGCCAGGCCAACCGCAAGCGCATCAAGGCCATCCGTCAGGCCCTGGAGAAGAAGGTGGGCAGGTTGAGCGGGCCTGATGAGCCCGTGCTCGTGGCGCGAGCGTGCCTTCGTGTGTGTGTACGTGTGCGC